GGCGCTGCAGTATTTCAATTTTGGATCAATTTTTCCCAAGGAAATTCTGGTCACTAACGTACTGTAAGTAGCCACAGAATCAGAACGGTGACCTTCTTCCCTAATGAGTGCCCTTCCACAGAGATGACGGTTATGCTGCAATCCGTTGGTACAAGGTGCACAATGACGAGAGATTCCTTCAGCGTGCACGTCATCAGTGGAATTTTGCCTACCACCTTACAATCTCCCAGGAAACCAAGTCCCCAAACGGGAATATGGCGGGAAAGGTGTTTCCCCTGGCAGAAGACTGTGGAGTTCAGGGCATATCAGCCAATGGCGCAACATTCCGTGTGAGCCACCCTACCTGTTGTCTTTTCCCTGTGACCAACTATGGCTGACTCCCGCAACATGCCCATAGAACTCATCCGAGAATGATGTCACCGTGGGCACCTACGAAAGCAGGTAAGTCGTAGATTTTACAAAATCAAGGTCATTGCTGACTTTCCTGCACGGTAGCCAGTATTCGCTGTGAGTTAAACCAATCTTCGATATCACTGCCAGCCCAAACCTTCTGGGGCACTGATATCCTGTGTCATCTTAACAAGTCTATCAGCCTTGCTTGCTGAAGCAGATCCGTCCAATACCACATATGCTCACGCAGCCTCGCTGTCGTTGGAATTCGCACTCGGCATCGCTGGCAATTTCAGCTACAGCGTAACTGGAAACGGGGATCTGGTCAATTATGCGGGGAACTGTGGAAATCCGTCAGATTTAAATTTATTGCAGACAAGAGGAACATCCAGTTACGGCACCATGATCGAAGCAATGTCCATCATACACTCTTTGTATGAAAGCAACAACACTGACACAAGGTATGGTCTACACTCAGTCACTCTTCCAAACTGTCTTATGAGAACTTTCTTCAAATAGGCTGCAGCAAGTGATTAATTCAACCTTGTACACAGTGGGAGGGAGCCTGGGTCTTGGCTCCAATGGTGTGCTTTTCAACGACAACACCAGCCAGGCGATTGGAGGAGACAGTGGTGATATGTATTTCCTGAGAGGTCTCGCAGAAGCATATAGAAGGGGCGAAGGCACACTTTCAGCTGAGCTACGGGATCAAATGAAGATTGTGTTGGGGGTTCATGTGCGTAATTTAGTCTGCATTCTCGGTGACCTGACTGACAACCTTCGAAGTATAATGCAATCCGAGAGTCCGCAACCACAGGAAACAATGTTTATAGTCGAAACTGGAGGGGCCCACCGACCCAAACGACCTTTGATTCGTATAATCAAGCCGCGGCCGCTCAGATCTTAGTCGATGGCATCGATCTCTTCCCTTCCAACGATATCATCCGCCCACCAAATAACACCGGCCCTCCCAATATCACAGGCCCTCCCAATTCTAGACCCTCTGCAGCAGTAATTGCTGGATCGACGACTGGCTCCGTGTTATTTCTGCTGTCGGTTGTACTATTCGTCATCTATGCAGTGCGCCATTGGCGTCGAAAACACCAAACAGCCCTGTCGTCCGACGCTGGCCCCACAGCCCAAGTGATTAAACCCTTCATCGCCACTATATCCGGAAAGCAGATAGCGCCTTCACAAAAATATCCACCTCGACAAATGTCAGCTCAAGTAACAGCGTCAGCGGCACGAATTTCGCCGTCCAGACGACACGACTCAGCACTCCCAGCAACTCAAGAGACAACCGATCTGATGAGCGAACGCCACAGTACAATTGACGCGCGCAACATCGAAAGGTTGAATGTCACTGGTGATGCCGGAAGTCGACGTCAGGAGCATACTCCCGCTGGAGAAGATCTGGAGATCACACCAGCGTTTCCTGACATGGTTCGTATGGTGTATCAGCGCCTTTGGGCGCATAATGTGTCGGAGAATCCACCAGATTACCGTAGTAATCTGGGGGAGCCTCCTCAGCAGGCTTGAGATGGGGGTTCTGGATCAAAAGTCCTCCCATTTCCGAATTTGGCCGGATTGGGTATTTTCCTAAGATTCCCCACCCATACTTCGGACTCGATGCCTTATACGTGTGTATATCACTACGAAATTCGAATATAGTTTAGTGGTATCAGAATTTGGGGCTCTCAGCTTAGAAAAACCGTCATTCCACTCTGAATTTTCCGCAGACGACCGATATGTAAGACTTGGGAAATTATAGCCTGCCACACCACGGCAGCCAGGGCACGGATTCGGAGCCAGTGATATTAACGGTCAAATGTTTGCTACCATACCTACAACTGCTGTCAATGATCACTAAATACTTGCTCTTGAGCCTGTTCTCCTTCTACCCTGGCTGTAGAACATAAAAATGGGTGTTGTGTCATCCTGGTGTATGGCATTACCGTCCTCAGGCTCCTTCTCTCGACTCTTTGTTGAGGTCCCGTTTCATCACCGATCCTTCAACACTCAATCTTTCGCACACTACCAACGTACGGCTGGTCAATCTAAAGGAGGTATGTTGCCTTTTATAGGTACGAGATAACTTGGATCGAGCGGACGAATTGGAGATTTTTTCTGGGATGGGCTTGTCGTGCCGGGAGGACCTCAGCCCAGTCTGGGTCTAAGTGAGCAATGTGCACGTGATTGCCCGTGACTGACGCGACACACCAGAGGTGATGATAGGGAGGTGGTGGACTTGTTTACATACTCCAAACTGGACGCAACTAGCGCGGAGAAATAAGCACGGGCCACAAAACGCAAGCGGCAGACGCACAGTAATGACATGGGTAGACTGAGGGCTGGATAAAAAATTCTCGCGGCTGTCTTCATTCACAACGCGCACAGACACAGGTCTGGGTAAGATGGCGTCTCGCTTAAGTTTGAGTATTTTCATACCAGGAGGACACAGAAACACTAACTGGGGTTGGTAGAGCTCGCGCAATAGACGGATTGCCTTGACCTCGGGGACATTCAACAGCTTGGAAATATCCTTAAATTCCAGTCTTTGAGAGAGTGCCGGGGAGAATCGTGCATCAATCTCACTTCGGGGCTCTTTACGGTAGAACAACTCGAGGAACAAGGCCTGCGCACCTCGACAGTCAACGAAACACCGACGAAAAGTCCCGGATCGGAGTCAACTCCCTGTTGATTTCATACTCTACATTGCGAACCTTCATAGCCTCATAGAGCCGTTTGTGTATGTTCGTCTATTGGCGGGATCACCTAGTAGAGTCCCATTACCCCGCCCAACCCGTGTCTGTGCCCTGTTTCATTTTCCGACGTGCAGTGCGGCTGATTTGAATAACATGTCACTGCAGTGATACTAAAACGGACGGATGGATATGTTGACAGAAAGAAGATGGTAGGTGTGATGGTAGGGGAAAACAGACGAGAGGCTGGAACGAACAATAGGAAACTGGTCAGGCCAAATAGTTGTCAGTAGTAGACGCACGGACCACACATGCTAATGGGCCCGACCGCGCCAAATACCGTAAGTTTTACTTCGATATTGGGAGGGCCTGGTCAGAGCAGTGAATAGAGTTCGATACAGTGTATACGTAGCAGTAAAGCTCCGTTCTATTCTCCAAGTTTATCAATACAGGACTCCCAGGAATTTCAGAAATTAGATTTGATGGACTGACCCCTACATATGGTTTGATGCGAGTCCAGGCCATCCAAGATCCTCCAAAATCATCCCATTGGGAGTGCTGAAGCTCAGCGCTCAAACGTCATCAGATGAAGCCGAGAATTTTGTTCAGAGGGGACCCTTTTACCCCGGACATCGGAGACCAGTGAGGAAGTGTTTAGAAGATGGTTCACACGCTCAGCTGTGGGTGCTTGCTTGCCATCTGGACGCGTCATCTCACTGCTTCCCTCGCTTCCACTCTCGCTCCCTCAACGTTCCTTCAATCTTTGGGTGCAAGATTCGACAAGCATCAAGGCTATCGTGATTGCTTGGAGTTACTCGGGTGTCTGGTGCGTGGTTAATTTCTAATTGATTGTAATCATTCTGACTCGATGTCTCTGAATGAATATTTGACTTGATATCGAGCTGGAGAACAGAGTACCGAGTACCTAGAGTATCTGAACGATATTCGACATCGATATGGGACTGTGAGGAACTGGCACCAGGCGATATGGGTCAAATCGGACAGCTCAGGACAAAACTGGACAAAATTCGACAAATTTGGGCTAATCTGGATTCTGGACCCGAGTCTGGAAAGAAAAATCTCGTCACTCGCAACTTGCAAGCCTCTCCCAACCTCATCTGACTCCCGAACTTCATCCAACTCCCGAACTTCATCCAACTCCCAACCTCGTCCCACTCCCCAACCTCATTCAACTCCCCACCCCCACCTCATTCAGGCGCATTATCGACTTTCAGACATACTCCACAGCGCCGCCCTCTTGAACTCGGATTTCAAAAGAAATTTGCTTCCCAATGATGTCAGAGCATTACATTGCTGGATCGCCAGATTCAGTTGATGGTCTGTGCGTCCATAGATTTCTCATTTATAGTAAATTATACCCGCCGTGTTCAAACTGCCCCTCGTTGCTTCCTGTCTTCCCCCCACCATTACACTTACCTCTCTTCCTCAATTCCAACTGTCATATCCATCATCAAATAATCAAAGGCCCGTACTGAGAGTATGAAGAGTGGGTGAAAGGGTGTAATACACTGATCATTGGGAGATCATGATCAGGTGCGTATCATGAGCACTTTTTCTTGTTTCTAAAATTTGACGCATTTTTATGCTGTCCATTGTCATCCGTCTAGCTTTTCTTGGCGCGAATCATAGGCAATCGGCTCAATGTTGTCGGGTAAAGGTCTCATTGAACTCATTGGATGGCGAGGGCATGTAAGTGTGACGCTCAGACGCTCGGACACTTGGGCTTGCCCCGAAGGGCCGAACCCCACTCGACGCTCGACGACAAACCCGTCACAAGCTCCATTAAGCAGTTGCCATGTCTCCGACTACATTAATGCAGCGGAAAATGGTCACCTTCGTCATGATGCGTTCTTAGTCCTTCAGCCTCAGTAGCTCCTCGCAGGTATGTCCCTGGCAGTATATCGGTTAGTACACGCGCCTGTCATAAACACTACTTCTCGTAGTACGCGCGAAAGCTGGGTTCAACTCCCAGCCAGGGAGATATGATAGTATGAGTATCGTTCTTGTCAAGTTTTGTTCTTTCAAGATAGATACTCAATCCATGACTCGACCCAAGGGATTGCCGCTTACCAAGTTATCATCCCCTCTTCACCCGACTTGGGTGTATAGTTTCCCACGCAGACCGAGACGACAGTGCTCCATACCGGCTTTCTGATAGCCATCTGTCAAAGGTCCACTGTAAGATGTTGGCTGAATCATGAGCAGTACGTGGAGCATGAAAATGAGGAACTCGTGAGAAAAATCAAGTACTCGGGAAGCGCCGCTCGCGCGGCAGCACACCTTGCTTGTACGCGCAGAAGGTGAAGGAATGACTAGGTATTGATGGCTCAAAAATGTACAAATGTAGAAATAGTACTTATGATTCTCTGAAGAAAGATCTAGTTGGCGCCATATAGCGAAGGTCAGTTCCGAGGCTAACTTGTGCGAATGAACGGAACATACTTACTAGAAAGAGATAGTAGCTAGAGCGAGATCATGAACATGGAGGCCTGAGGTCTTAATGAGAGGAACGAGGAATGTTATTTAGATGGTGGAGGAAACAGTAGAGCGACCACCACTAGTCTTGGCACCTGGGAAGATGCGAGAGACTCAGATAAGATGGGGTTGAGATCCGTCGGATCTCGTGTTTGGTTATGTGTACAAAAGACGACCCGACGGGTGAATTATAACATTCGAAGGACCTTGACAAGCAAGGTGATCTCGATCTGAAGGCATCGAAGATCAAAGCTACGGTTTATGGGTTGAACTGCCGCCCCGGCGGCCGATAGCTATGAAGACCTTCAGGCTTTTTGGTGGCAGACTCGCGAGAGGTTCGAAGGCTCAACCTGCATCGCGATGACCGGCGTATTGAGCGAGACCTGAAAAACTATGAATACTAACAGGAGTACTCGTTGCTTTTGTCACGAGGTCGACACCGTTGGCGAAAGACTGATTTGTGGACCATGATCGACACTCGACGCTCGATGCTTCGGGCTTGGGTATGATTGACCTGAGGGTGCGAACGATGAATTTTCTGAGTTGCGAACCATTGCATCAAATATTGCTGTGAATCGCACTCGATAGCCACCAACCTCTGGAGCCCAAAGTCCTACATCTAACTCCTTGGCTTAAATAGTGATTTCGGTCAACGCAGCCATGCGATGGATGAGGCCACTGATCTACACTCAACGTGCAGTCTATCACAACTCATTCACGCGAGCCACTCAGGAACGGTTGGTGGTGGATGAGAAATGTCAGTGGGCTTTACGGGACACACCTCGACTCGTACGAAGGTAAAGTTTCATATCCGATGTGGTGTAGTGGCTAACATTGCTGTCTTTCATAGAGAGGTGGCACTGTCAGCACAGCAGCCCGGGGTTCGATTCCCCGCATCGGAACTCGCCCATGCACATACTTTTATCCTCCATGATTCAGCTTCTTCTATATCATGCCACTGGCTCTCTGATCGAAGATTCAAAATATTTACCGCCACCACTGCCTCACTTCTCTACCTGTAAATGATAGATCAAAAGGTATACCGGATGCATAGTTCACCCTACCGGGTGAAAGTCACCCCCTGAATGCTATTTATATCGACTCTCGTGTGTCCAAATTTCGGGCTAGCTGGAGAATGAGCCTGGTCAGCCTCCTTGAAGATTGTCCATTTTGGGGACCTTCTGTCTTTCTTTTGGTCTTTGGCTTTGGTATCTGGTTTGAATTCTCAACCATTTGAGAGTAGGATATTCAGGTTAACGCAAGCATAAAAACATCTTTTGTCCCCGTTGATGGGAACCAGGTGGGCCCATAAATGAAGGCCTTGTCCACATTGACTCGGTGTTAAACGCGCGAGTAGGATCTGTGTCCCCATGGTCTTCGCTACACTGATGGCAACGGGTGAGACGAGGCATCAAGATTCAAAGTCATCAAAACAGGAAGATATGCGGCGGGAGAGCTTGAGGTGGCGATAACGGATAAAAGGAAAGTGGGTCGATATCCTAGCGTTATCCGTCGTGCCGCATGTATTATAAGGGCTTATACTTCGCCTCTTGACATCCAGGTCTTCTTCGCTTGCCCCTTATTCACCAACCCGGGTGTGTTTACCTAGCACTGCTTACTCCTTCCCCATTATGGCCCTCTTAGAAGATCAACTGAAGCCATGCTTCACCACTGAAGTTATAATTATTCAGACGATCGTATCCTTAACGGCGAGTAATTCAAACGTTCGCTTAAGTACACAGTTCTTGACGGGATTTCACAGGTGACTTGGTTCGTCTACGGTGCGTCGTTGCATTCGTATTCAACGTATTTTCGAACCGTTCAGTAACCTTCTTGAACCTAGGGTTTTACATTGCACTGTTCCTTGCCGCCCTCAAAAATTTATACAAATATCGACGGGAAAATCAGGCCCTCTACATCACATGGACCACTCTTTTGTTTCTGTTGTGCACCCTCGACAACGTCGTGGAGACATGGTATCGAGTGCGGCAAGCTATCAAGATCTATACTGGAGAGCATACAAAGGACTACGCATCGCTGCAGGTGTACGCAAAACATAATCTAGTCAAGACCATCCAGAGGTGGGCCTCTAAGGTCACCGTATGCTTGGCCAGTCTCTGATAAATTGTGTCTGATTCCAGGGGTTTTTTGATGATGCTGCCCGTCCTGTCGAAGTAAGCGAGATACCCTTTCATGCTGCAACAGTCCGGCCGTTGCTTATCTTCACGACTATCAAGCTTTGTGGCCGAGTCGATGCTGGTATGTATTCCTTGAAGTCGCTCCATACCGTCGTATGACATCTCATGTCTGATTGTAGATTTATCGATGTTACCTCGTGTGGTTTGGTAACAAATGGGTCGGGATAAGCCTTGTCGTGATGTCCATCCTTTTAAACGGTGAGTGGGAGTACGTCAATCATGCTACGTTACTCGTGTGCTACCCAGCCATTTGCAGCGGTCGGTCTCTCGGGCTGCGTCATGTTCACGATTGGATTTCGAGATACACGATACGAGGAAAATATTTCTCTTCTTCTCAAGGGCAATAGCATCAATAACGGATATTTGATCGCGAATGGGGTCTTCAATACCATTTTGACCGCGTTGACCGGTAAGTCACCCTTTGATAGACCCAAATCCTTCACGCGCGAGTGCCACTGACGCTGTCTTTGCTGTGCGTGCTGTAGCTGGTCGAATCTATATGATTACCCACGAGGCAGAGAAATTACTCCAATACCGTACCAATCGAGTTCGCAAAACGGTGGTGGCGGTCATGTAGGTCTCTCATCCCAATCTTCCATACTTCCACCATCTAAAATGATTTGATAGAATAGAATCAGGACTGATATATCCCGCATCACTCATCGTTTACCTCGTCATTCTCTTGCGTCTTGACCCGAACAACCAGAGCCTACTCCCTGTAGACCTAAGTCCTTTGTTTATGCAAGCTGCTGTACGTACTGTGGACTCATCCTGGCCTTCGAACGTGACTGTTCATGCTCTTTTTTTATGCTGTAGGGAATCGCGCCGACGCTTATAATCGTCCGTGCCCTACAAGGAAAGACGACCGACAGTGTGGTGCAAGTTGTCTCCGCGAGAAACCGTGACTTGTTAGAGACGACCCACGCATAAGATAAGGCCAGACTATCAATTGGTGATCTAGGGGTTTACTAGTAATATGAAAGGTGCCCTACTAAGGTCGAAAGCTTTATTGGAGGCAAGGGGGCCCACCAATTTGAATCCCTGACCAGGGGGTGGGGGGGGGGGGAGGGGGGCCCCCCCTGAAAAAAAAATTTTGGACCCCCCCCTGGTAGAGAATTTTTAGGGATTTTGAGCCTTTGTCTGGGCTTCAACTAGTGATTTCAGGGAGAGAGAATCAGTCAAGAGATGCACAAGCATTCTAACTGGCCTGACTCCCACTCCAGTGGCATGAAAAATTGATTGTACTTACTGCTACCATCCCAAGTAAAATTCCGCACTATAAATCATCTTTCACAAAAACATTATATTCCCTGTAGTAGTAAAGAGAGTCTGTAGTGACTGAAAAGACGGCAGACGTTATTGACTTTCTGACTTTGCCAAAATAAATAGCACGTGCACCTACCATAAAAGGAAGGCTTACGTAGGGGGGGGGAGTCGCCGGTTTGGACCTCTCACAGAAAAAATCGACCCCCGGTCTTTTTTTTCGATCTTTGGACCCCCTTGGTACGAGGTCGATTTTTTTTTACCTCTAGTTTTCAAAAACGCGTATTTTACATCGATAAGCGCCCGTTGGAGTAACGTTGTCATACGTGACACACCAGTGACACCTGACGTCACGAACCCTTTTCCCCTCTTCCGACCAGGTCGATTTTCCTGACGGTCGCTTGCTCATGGATTTTGCACTTTTTAATCACCGAAGGCAAGTTTGAATCTCTTCTTCCATGATATCCCAGCTAATCTCGTTAAAAGCTAGCTATGAAAGTGGAGAAAAGCTCGCATACGGACAGTGGCCGATGTTTTGGGATTTGCGTTGGCAGTGAAATCTACCTTGTGGCGGTGGTTGACCTTCAAAAGGACTTTCGAGTAGCCTTGAGATGGACCTCTGCACGGCTAGACTGTACGTCGTACGATCCCTAGTTCTCACCCTGATGTTCTCGTGCTCAAATTTTACTTTTTACAAAAATTACTGTATCATTTCCGAAAGCTGTCTTGAGAAAGCAGCCCAGAAGACACGACGACTATAGAGAGGCGTTTTGCGAAGCACTCCGCCTACTGACTTCCCACTTTCCCCACCCTCCTTTCTGTCCTTACTCGAGCTCAGCGACCTTGGGATTCGGTCACCTATGCTTGCACACCACCCCCCAGCATGATCAGACCATTTTTATGGTGAATTCTACTCTCCCTACTTCCACTTCCTCTACCTCTTCTACTCGCGAACCAACCCGCCCGACAGAAGATTTGGACACCCCTTCATCTCGCCGCCTTTGTCGTTCTGCAGCACTCAATACCTTCCCATCGGGCTCTTTGGTAGCAACTACCGGACTCGGATATTGCAGATGATAAACGGATCAGGTAAAGGCACCGAGCATCGACATATCTTACGCCGAACTGTCCCTTCAACTGCCCGCCGCCTCACAACCCTTCGTCGGATCCCACTCGAGTAACGCGAATTATATGCGCTTCTTCCTTGCCATCTCTTCCGCCCTCCACTCCCAGGTCTGCTCCTACAGGTGAAGGGCTTGGCTGACCTACGAAGGACATGATCACTGAGGTTCACGTTGCTGTGATGACCTGAACACTTGCCCAGGGGTCGGGTCGGCTCTTCTGGATTCCTGAGCACGAGAAAACTCAGCTACCTGGTTCGTCTCTGATGATCCTATTCGGTCAACCTCGTGAGGCGATCCAATCTGTCTGACGCTCAACGAGCTTCACTGGAAGCTTCGAGCCATTTTGGAACCGGTAGACCGGTGTGGACCTCGGTATCCCTCGTTGTTGACTATCGTAGAATGTCATCTATGTCATTTCCTTCAGAATTCCATCACATGTAGGGGTTGTACTACTTCGCCCTACACTTTCATGATACCCTCCATATTGATTAGCTATCGTTCGTTACCGTCTGCCGTTGTTCTTTATCTTCGACACAACATCGCATTTGCACGTTATTGTTGTCCTATGTTAACCCCAACGCATACAAACATCTTCGTTCGTCCAACGCCGAGCCTTCCTGACTTTCCTTTGCCTCGTCTGCAAGCTCTCCACGAGCCATGCGGGCTTGTGAGGCGACGACTACTAGCCCATCCTCATTGCGGTCGAAAAAGCCGGTTGTGCCTGGCACGAACGGGGTGAAAGGGGTCCTATGCTGGCTCCAGATGCTCCCCAAGCTTCGGTGTCGTCGCTATTCATACCAAGTCACGCTCTTGACTATCACCAGATTACGGGAGCCTATTGAAACAACTCGCTGTGGAACTTGCCGGAAACACTGGAGAAGCGGACGGTGATATGCGCTCCTTGTTAGCTGGTCCATGGTGGAGGCGCCCTCACCGTCATTATTCGAAGCAGTCCACACTTCTACATCGTCTCGGCTTTGGTTCGGGACTCCCTCGTCTGAATGACTGTTCTATATGTATTGAAAACGTACATATATTCACTTTTTTAAACTTCTCGATCGGCTCACCGCTTTACTCGTAGCCCATGTCCATCCCCCATGGCCACGCAGGTGGTATGCACTCTGCCGTGCTGCCTGTGCGTCATTCTTGCAATCATTGCAGTAACAATGACGAGGAGACTTCTCGCTGTCTTACTACTGGTGGCGTTGTCCAATCTCTTTGATATCGGCTTATTGTCAAGCAAACGGGACATCCTCGATTCAACGTGCCAACCCCTAAGGAAACAAAGTTCACCAGTTACTTCCCGTGCTCCACTTG